GGCAGTCTGGTTGGGATCCAGGGTCCAAATTAAAAGTGGCAATCATGAGCATGCAGCTGATGTACTCCGTTCATTCCCACAATTTCTGGGTTAAACAACCCAGAAACTACAACCATGATGAGCGAACACAGATTGGTCACAGATACCATAACTGTTGTCACAATCGCCTCTTCAAAATTGTCATCTTCATAATGATCAGGACTTTCTACATCTACATTATCAGTAATTAGTTGGATAATGTCATCCGACTACAGATTTTGAAGCCATTTTATTCTCATTTTCAATCCAGGAAGTCTATCAGAATTTGCGCCGTTGCAGTAAATCAGTACAGTTTGCACACATAGTTAGATGTGATATGTCAGACTCTATTAACCTACTGGAACTCATACTTGTTTCAGGCATGCTAACTTTTCCAGTTTTGTTCATTTTAATGTTTCACAGGAAAGAAACGATGTTTCTGTAACACTGCTCTATAGCTACATAATCTATCATTATAGAGAAAATAAGCAAGTTGCAATAAAGTTACAACTGGAAGCTATTGTTCCAGTTCCAGGTTCCAGTCCCTGCTCGGCCATGAAGCTCACTGGGTGACTTTGGGCCAGGGCCAGGCTCTCAACTCACAGGGTTGCTGTTCTGGGGATAAGCTTGGGAGGGGGAGGAGAACCAATCCATGCTAGCACTTTTCATCACGTCTTTTAAACGTGTGATATTATTGGGTCTAAATTCCCCTTTCAAGATCAAGCCACCTCAAAATACTTTGTATCACAACAGAGAACTTGGGGATGGGTGGGAAAATTCATTCCCTGCTCCCCCAGCTACAAGATTACAGCTAAGCTCAAAGGGAGCAGGTGGAGGATGACATCAGTGCCTTGCTAACCAAATCCCTGATTCCCTGCAAGTCCTGGCTCCAGTACATCATTGTTCTCCATGAATTTCATGAGAACATAAGAAAAGCCTTGCCGGATCAGATGAAAGATCCATCTCATCTAGCATTCTGGTGGACATGGTGGCAAACCAGCTGCCCATGCAAGCAGGATGGGTGCAAGACCTCTGCCTGCGCGAAGTCCTCAGTAACTGACATATGCAGACAAGCCACCTTCAGTAAAAGAGACAGTAGACAGCCAGCAAGGCTAGTAACCACTGATAGCCTCCTCCTCCATGAATCTGCCAATCCCCTTTTAAAGCCCTCCAAATCAGTGGCCATCACCACTTCCTATGACAGTGAACTCCATAATTTAACTATACATTAAGTGAGCAAGTACTTCCTTTTCTACCTCCTTAACCTCCCACCAACCAGCTTCCTGGGATGACCTCAAGTTTGAGTGTTATGGGAGAGGGAGAAAAATGTCTCCCTTTCCACCTTCTCTACACCATGCATTAAACACCTCTGTCTCCCCTTACTTCATTTTGGACTGCAGTGGGATGGGAGTGGACCCAAATCTCTGTTAGCTAGACAGAGTGCTAAAGACACAGACATATCTTCAGTTATAACACTGGCTACAGGTGTTGTTAAATAGTGCCTATCTGTCATCACCATTGAAGAAGCTCATGGATATGTACATCTCTGTGGAAACAGAAAGGTACAGCATACAACTGCTGTCACATTTTTGGCTGGGAAGCCTCCCTTGGATGTACTTTGAGAAGTAGAGGGGGCTGGGTCTGATTTGAAAGATGTCCACATAAGAAGGGTGACACAGTTAAGAAAGTCTATGAGTCATTGCCATGGACTTCATAATCCAGCAGTACATGGCAGAATTGGTGTAAGCAGAGGTCTTTTTAGAACAGAACAGGGCTATTTATGTTTCCAGAAATGGAAGTTTCTCTTGGATGCTGTTGGAGAAGTTCCAATTGTATATATTAGAGGATCATTTTGTATAGGGTTAGAAATTTAGACCAAAGAATGAATTGATCCAATCATATAAAGCACTACTATTAGTAAATGTTTGCTGGATGGATGACTTCACCACTTTCTTTTAAATAATGAAGCAAAGGCTGTAGTTTGTCAGTAGCCTAGTAGGAGCAAAATACATCCCAGAAAGATTTGCCATGAAATCACAGTACCATAATTCATGTTAACCGGGGCAGCAACTCACTTGGGGGTGGTAGCACCAGCTGTCGCGGTCACTGACCCAGTAACTTTGAACAATGTTTCTTACAGCTGCAAAGTTTGTGTGCATCTCTATGGCAAAATGAAACATGACAGAACTAGACACAGTGCTGGAGAAAACATCCCACAATCCTTCCTATTCAGACATCACATTTGGGATACTTTCTGGCTTATTTTAGGAATCTCTTCCACGTCTATTTTAGGCTTTCAGTTTTCTTCAGTGAAATTTGCTTTACCTTTTAAGAAGACCACTGACTTGTGTAACATGGTACATTCAGCAGATCCAGACATTTCAGAGAACAGGGCTGAATTTTCTGCAGAAGCTAATATTACACACTTGGTCTTTATTGGGCTTGTAGTCAGGGCCAGGCCTGCCCAAATTTTCTTAAAATTAAAAAACAGTTTACAATTATCTTTAAAGCAACAGCAAAGCAGCTACACTGCCCTTCACTTGGGGGCCTGACTTGCTTAAAACTTGATCTATGTAGACATGGCATTTTGGGGAAACTAAGCTGAATACTCTAACAAGTATTTTTTGTAGTGCTCGATTGAGACGAGAGTCACAGAATCATAGTAGAGTCAAAAAGGGCCAAGAAGGCCATCGGTCCAACCCCCTGCCCGTGCAGGTCACCAATTTACACCATCCCACTCAGATGGCTGCCCAGTTTCTTTTTGAATGTCTCTAGTGTGGAAGAGTCCATGAACTCTCTAGGCAACTGGTTCCACTGTTGCATTGCTCTGATAGTGAGGGAACTTTCCCTGAAATCTAGCCTGAATCTGGTTTGCTGGAACTTAAGCTGATTATTTCATGTCCTACATTCTGGTATGAGCGAGAAGAGATCATGTCCTTTCTCTTTATGACAGCCTTTCAAGGGATATCATGTCCCTCCTCAGTCTTCTCAAGGCTGAACATACTCAAGCAGTTCAAGCATGCCCACTAAAACAAATGCCAGTCAGTGAAAGGAGCTGAATGCACATCCTGATGGACTTCCATCTGCTTGCTTTTGAGAAGACAGCCAGACTCCCATCATGCATCTTTTTATGGCCTTTGCTCACAACGCCTCAGACTCTACAGACTTGTTCTTACTCATGCCATCTCCGAGACTTGCCTTCTGTCAAGTTCTGTGTCATGTTATGCAAATGTATTTTACAGTTTGCATATTTACGTTTTGTGATCACTTTGCCAATAGTCTGTCTTTCGTTATTCTCACGCACGTGCTCATTCGGTCTCAAAACTCAGCTTTTTATTCAATGAATTGGATTGTCTGTGAACATTTGTTATTGCATCCATAGGAAAGCTGGGGCTGAAGGGCCTGGATTACACACTGTGCTCACTTTTCAAATCATTTCTGAGACATGTTTGGCACATTTTGTGAAGTGGCTAGAATCAGCCAGCCAACCAATGATGGCCAACATGCTCGTTTCACATACTTCACTACAGCAGGTAGTAAAATTTTGACTTTTCATAAAAGTTGCACCAGCAAACTCATAGCAACTGAGTGTGCAACTGAAACAGGTGCCACATACAACAGGTAAAAGACAGATGTGTGTAAATGTTCCAAATGAGCCCTGTCACACTGAAGTGCACTTAACAAATGGAGACCATTTAACTGTTGCCTTATTTATTGATTTCGTTACCTATTTTTCAAAAGTCAAAGCAATCTGCTGTGCTAGCATGCCAGCGGCAGAATTGTTTTGTCATCCGATGATCACTGTGAATGTTATATGTGAATGGGCCCACGCAACAGCAACTTAAGCACGACCGGACACATCTGAGTTGTTGCGTGGCCTTCGGCCATGGGCCCTCTGCGCGCTTTGGCTGCTGAGGAGCGCAGGTGTTTTCCCTGCTCCCCGGCTGGCTGCGAACCCGCTATATTAGAGGAAACGGCGTCCGAAGACGTTGTCAGGGACCTAAGAAGTAACGTGCGAAGTGCCGGGCTCGGAGGAAATGAGGCAAGCCCGACGACCAGGGCAGCTCGGCGGCCGCGCGTGTTTGAGAGCCGCCCTCGCTGCACCGCGCCACGGCCGGTCGGAGGGGGCGACGCCTTCCCGGGTGAGTGTGCGCGGGGCCGCGGCTCGAGAGGGCTCCCCGCGACAGGGCGAGGCGGGGGGGCGCGCAGCCCCACCCCCGCGGCTGCCCCGCCAAGGGGGAGTCCCGGAGTTGGCAGCTGGGGAAGCCCGGCTGCGCGGCGATGCGCGGAGGAAAACACCCCGCCGCGCCTTCGGCCAGCCGGAGGGCGGGCGAGCGCGCGCGCGCAGCCAGACCCGAGAAGACGCGGCACGTGGGAAGCGGAGAGGCTGCTGAGGCGAGGCTGGCGCGAATGCTGCGGCCGCTGCCAACGCCGCCTCCTTCTGGCGCGGGGCTTTGCGAGGAGGGAGCGAGCGGGAGCGCGGGGAGGGAGCGCGGAGCGCGAGGGGAAGCCCGGCGGCAGCGGCGGCAGCAGGAGGGCTCGGTGACAAGGAGAGCGGGGAGCTCCCTTTCTTCCAGAGACTGCCGGGCGGCAGAGGCACCGGCAGCTCCAGAGCGATGCTTTGCCCAGGTCGGCAGCAGGATCCGGCTGAGTGCAGCCCGCGCTGAGCCGAGGGACGAGCGGGCGGGGGGCAGCCGCGCATGCAGCACCCGGCGCGGCGCGCAGTCTTGCAAGGATGCCCCGTCCTGAGTGTGCGTGAGGAGGAGGAGGAGGAGGAGGGGAAGGAGGAGGAGTTCTTCTGGGAGCCGCTGCCAAGTGCCGGGAAGAGGAACGGTGGCCGGCTTGGCTGCCCCCCACCGTCAGCTGCCCAGCGCCGCGGGCTCCTCCGTGGGAGGCACCATGATCTCCTAACGGGCTCGCTCGGCTCCCTCGCTTTCTCCGGCTTCCCTCCCTCCCCACCCGCACCTCACCCCCATGGAATTACCCGCCACCACCGGCTGGCAGCGGAGCTGCTGAACTCGTGTAGCTTGGTCGTGCGGAGAGCGCTCGTCCCGAACTGCACGCTCGCGCAATCCTCGGCGGTTTGGAGGAGGAGGAGGAGGGGCTGCTCGGGCGGGCAGAGCCCCGCGCTCCTGGGGCGGGGTGAGTACCCTTCCTCGATCGGGCTTAGCTGGAAGTAAGTTGAGGGGGTGGGGTCATTTCTGTTTTGTCCCGGTGGCGTGTGATCGGAGAGTTCCCACCCCGAGCTGGATGGCAGCTCCTCCGCCCGGCCTTTCCGGTGCTGCCGGGAAGGCCAGGTGCCTGAACTTTCTTGGGATTTACAGCATCTCTGCCTTTGCACATTCCGGTCTGGGCACCATGTCTGGAGAAGGGCAAAGCCGCCTTCTGCTGTTCGGGGCGGTTCTTAGAGCTGTGTGCGCGCGCGCGCGCGCCCGATTGCTCGTGTGTGGTTCCCTGATTTGCATTCCAAGAGGGAAAAGCGGGTCTCAAGTGCACCGACGGGATGTTGAAATTCTCCGTGGCGAATGCCATGCAGAGGCGTTTGCAAGCGAGCCTGTTTCTCTCCTTGCCTCGTTTACCCTCGAGGTCTTTCCCTCCACATGGTTTTCAAACAGTCTTCGTGAGGCTGAGATGACAGTAAAGCCTAAAAGGAGGTTTGCATAGTACAGTACAAAAGTACCTTGGCGTTTGCAAAAGCGAGGGGGACAGAGCAAGCAGTCGGGGTGGCTAGTTGCCCGTGCAATCGATGGTAGAAAGCGGTCGTAACTGCCAAACAGGGATGTTTGACACTTATGCAATTCCCCTAATTAAAGCCTAATTTATGTGAACAAACCCGTTCAATGGCTGTGGTTGATCCTGTCAATCAACAGGTGGGGTTTTGGACAAATAAGCAAGAGGGGTTTTGTTCCAGTAGTGTACCTGGTTGAAAGCTGACACAGATTCATGTTTCATTTAGAAAGGCAAATAGAAAAGCGTGACTTGCCTTTCCTTTTAGCCATGCTCATATGTGTGCTGTCCAGAAATGTCACTTTCCTGATGGTGCACTGCTGTGAAACAAAACACTCAGCTGAATCACATTAATTGCTTTGGAAGGGTGACATGAACTTTGGGGCAGCCAAGATACTATTCAAGGATGGAAGATGAAAGACTGGGGATGGGGGGGCGGGGGGGGGAGAATATGGTGTGTGTATTTCCCTTGCTTACAGAAAAATATAGTAGCAACTCTGCTGGGAAAATAATAACCTTTCAATCAAAAAATCTCTCAGCCATGTATTGTAGAACTTTGGATAGCTGCCCTTTTTGATAACACACAATAATTTTTTGATATCCTTCTGAAATTGTAGTTGATTCTAGCAGATCCCCTGGGTGAAATGTAACATCAGAGGTGTGTCAGTCCCTTTTGTTTATCTTGATTTGGAAGAGTAATATGGTAAGAGCAAAAGAATGAGATATAAATATAAAATTGTAAAAGAAAATCTCAAAACAGCAAGGGCAAAGATCATTATTTCAGACTATTTCAGTGCCATTTCTGGTTGTTTGCTTTATATTTCCCCCCTCGTCTGTCTTGTTACAGCATAACGGGATTCATGCTGAACTGTTTGGATTAAATCTTGTCAATTGGCTCAGTAGGAATAATGTCATACCTATACCTAAGCAAGGAAAGGGCCATCTACCAGAGAAAAAGTACTGTGAGCTTGCTTGTTCTGAAATGTCATATGTAAGTGTAGGAACCCTGTTGCAGACTTTCCATTCCAAGGAGAGTTGGTGAAAAGCTCTGTTAAAGGAGCATTATGCATTTTTGCATTAATGCGGCCATCTGTAATTGCTCTATTTGAAGTTAAATGGCTATGTTCTAGGAGTTAGTTATCAAGGATCTTGGCTCTGTTTCACATTCTGATGGATTTTGGGTGCAAGCGAAGGTAGCATTACTGTTCTTAAGTGAAGTGGCTCTTTGACTTTGAAGTCAAGATGCAACAGAGTGAATGATATTTTGCATCTTTGTATTGCCAAGACTTAACCAAGAAGCTGCTCACATATCCTTTTGCCCTGTTCCTCAAAAAGGAACAACTTCGGGTAACATTGAGCTTATCTTTATGAATTAGAGAAACATTCTGCTTGCTCCTACAGATACTTGCTTTGAAATCCCACTGAACTGACTCCCAAATAACTGAGATAAGATTGTAGCCAGTAGTTTCAGTTTGAATAATATGATGCCTGATAATTTTTTAATTGGCTGCAATGTCACCTTGCCATTATTGGAGGGTTGTGGTGGGAATCCTCATAACTGTGAAGCGACCAAATGGCAGAACTGGGTCAATGCTGCTGCAGCTTCTTTCCCCAGGACCACATGAACCCTGTTCAAAAGATTCCGAGTCCCAAGGCTGTTGCAGAATGTGTCACTGGCACATTTGCAGTGGCTGCAGGTTGCATCTGTTGACACTGTAGGGAAAATGTTACATTTATTTGCTTTCCTTGGCCTTCACGAATTCTTCCATTGAAAATTGGCTAGTAATTAAATTGTACAGAAATGGCTAAAAACAGCTAGTAATAAAAATTGCTATACAAGAATTTTGTACTGTAGAACTTTGTACGATTTCTAGTGATAGCAGGACTCGGATCAAGGAAATGCAAGGTCACATCTTTGAAAGCCTAAGTATGACCTATATCACCAAAGACTATCTGGTTGCGAGTTCATTACAATTTAGCTCTTCTCTGTCCAGCCTATTCTTTTTCTGGCCTGGGGAACTGTAGTCTGAATTACTTCAGTTGTAAGAGTATTAATTAATAGTCTTGGAATACTATGCATCATCTTATTACTGAACCTTTTCCTGATGTTATTGTGGCATAATTTACTATGGATATATGGCATACACATACACTGGTGATGATAGTGATGATGGAGATTAGAATATTGTCATTTCTTTTTACTGTTTTTACAAGCAACATCACCTTTTTAATGAATATGTCTCAGGTTGAATATCAGTCAGCAGCAAGATGTGGCTGAAGAAAAGACAAGTTTAGGTTGCATTAATAGAGCTATAGTTTTAAAATCACAGGAATTAATCTAATCTGGGCTGGTGGGTTCTCTATATACTGTGCCAAGTTCTGGATACCTCACTTTAAGAAGAGTTTAAATTGGAATGAGTTCAGTGAAGGGCAACAAAGAGGACCACAGGGCTAGAAACTAAGTTCTACAAGGAAAGGTTGAAGGAACTAGGTGTGTTTAGCCTCCAGAAGTGAAGACTGAGGGGAGATATGCAGCACAATTTGGGTATCTCATATGTTTTCCTGCAGAAGAGAGCTACAACCTGTTGTCCATCACCTGTGACCAAAGGACATGGAATAATAGACAAGAGCTATACACAGAGAGATTTTGGTTGAGCAGCTGAGAGAACAGACAGTGAAATGAATTGCCTTGAGAGGTGGTGGGATACTCGTTGCAGAACGTATTCAAGCAGGAACTGAATGGCCATCTGTCAGGGAAGCTTTGCACTGAATTCTTTTCACTGAGCAGGGGCTTGGGCTCATTGGCCAAAATGTCCCCTCCCAACTGTAAGATTTGATGTGCAAATTATGCCAAAAGATTTCGTATAGTTCATCTCCCCATTAGAAGGCATAAAGTAATGGTTAATGTGGAATGTGAAAGCTATCTAGATTCTTTGTTACTTACGTACAGTAGGAAAGAGCTGCCACCTAAGAATATGGATAACAGCATGGTCAAAAGTAGCAGCATGAATAGAAAGAATACCTAAGACTTAAAGTGTATTTTGAAACCCATTGCCAGTATGGGAGAAGAAGGGTTTTGATTCCCTAGAGAGTTGAACCTTGGAGATTACCATTCACTCAAACACCGCTAGCCAGGAAATATATAATTAACTTCCTTATTCATAAATTTAGACAGTTCAGTGATTTTTCTTTTTAAGATCCAGTAGATAATAAGGGGTTTTTATAACCTGAATTTAAGCCCATGCTGAGCCCAGCGCTTGCTGGAAATGCCCTGTTCTCCAATCCACAGAGTCACATGCTTCTTCCTGTCTTGTGGGGCTTCTTGTTAATGCTTATCACTGATGTCCGTTTGGCTGCCCTTTAACACTTGCCTTCCAAACTGGGGGTGGAAACTATGGGCTGCAGTGGATTTCTGATTATAGTTTGAAGCCACGGTCACCAGTTGAGAGATCAGGGACAATGGTGGCTTGTGCTGAACTTGGAATACGGTGGAGAAACTGTGGACATAAGTAAATGAGTGCATGTAGCTGGAGGATCATCTGAAATGCTCATCCCTGTCTTCCCCTGTCATTCATAGGATATATTTTAATGGTTTGTATATGCAAATAGGGCCAGTAGGTAACAATGAAGCAGATCTACTGCCTTATCCACAGTTCTGCTGGCTTGTTCTGGCCAAGGTGGAAGGTGGGGGATGCACTTTCTTCCCAGCCACAACCTAGGAAGAGTGGTGTGTTTTGTTTTTCAATTCATGATAGATGTTTTCCTTTGTTAGCACCAGACTATTATAGGCGAGAGGTCCTGATTGTGCCAATCTCAGGGCAACTGAGTGGCTTCAGAACCAACATATTTAAAGCTGGCACTGCCCCATGCCCCAGACCACCCATTTCCAGGCCTTACACTTAGCTGTTCCTGGCAGAAAAGCTGCAGAGGCTGGCATAGGGGCATCTCCATGTGATTCTAACCAACACTGGGCGTGAGTAAGGTTGCGCTATGACTGCATGCTAGCTGCACTTGGCGTTGCCCAGATGCTCTTCTTCATGATAACCAACTTACTATTTTGTAACTGCCGGAAGGAATGAGATTGTCAGTAGTTCTTGTAAACTGCTTCCTATATGCCAGTTCCTGTAACAAAGAATCTGAGAAGAATGGAAGCCTCAACAAGCAATGACGGTATGCAAAGCAAGGCAAAGGCAAAGGCATTATTTTGGCATTATCAAAACAGTAACTGACAGGCTGTCTTGTTTTTCCAGAAAACTGTGACCATGTGTGACTACAGGAAAACTTTGATATATGAGAAAACCGAAAATGGTTAAATTTAGTAGAACCCTTGGCATTTTAACCTTGTAGGTTCAGAGTGTCAGACGAATAATACATGCTTTATATTGATGGTGAAAACTGAAGTTGGGAAATAAAAT